GCAACCACAAACACAAACACAAACACAAACACAAACACAAACGTAAATGTTCCGTGTTAAAAATAGCAATAAGGCCATCTTTTTTTTTTCTCCCTTAAAACCTGTATTGCTCCAAACAAGGACCTACCATGATCACAATACGAGCCGTATTGGCCTGCGGGACATCGTATACATTCTCCATCTACTTCATTACACATATTGTATAAGCAATTTGTGCTACATTGCAGTTCACAGCCTGGGCCATAGGTAAACATTTCGCAGTCTATAAAAGTAAACACATTTAAGTTATCACAGTAAATATGTAAATATAAAATATGTACTATGAAGCGATTAAAATATTTGCCTAAAACTAGCATAATCAAGAGATTACAATTCTGCCTGATGCCTAGGAAAAGCGTGCTTCTTACGCAATTATAATCCTTAGATTAGTGATAGTAAAAGTGCAAGCATAAACAATATAAAACAAGTGTAATCAACACATTATGATACTTGCCTATGTCAAACAGAATTTGTAAATATAAAACTAGTATAATCTAATATAAGGTGCTCGTAAATATGTAAATATAAAACTAGTATAATCTACGATATAGTGCTAGTAAATATATAAATATAAAACTAGTATTATCTACGATAAAGTGCTAGTAAATATATAAATATAAAACTAGTATTATCTACGATAAAGTGCTAGTACATATGTAAATATAAAACTAGTATAATCTAAGATAAAGTGCTAGTAAATATATAAATGTAAAACTAGTATCATCTACGATAAAGTGCTAGTAAATATATAAATGTAAAACTAGTATAATCTACGATAAAGTGCTAGTCAATATTTAAATATAAAACTGGTATAATCTACGATATAGTGCTAGTAAATATATAAATATAAAACTAGTATTATCTACGATAAAGTGCTAGTAAATATGTAAATATAAAACTAGTATAATCTACGATAAAGTGCTAGTAAATATATAAATGTAAAACTAGTATAATCTACGATAAAGTGCTAGTCAATATTTAAATATAAAACTGGTATAATCTACGATATAGTGCTAGTAAATATGTAAATGTAAAACTAGTATCATCTACGATAAAGTGCTAGTAAATATATAAATATAAAACTAGTATAATCTACAATAAAGTGCTAGTAAATATGTAAATGTAAAACTAGTATCATCTACGATAAAGTGCTAGTAAATATATAAATATAAAACTAGTATAATCTACAATAAAGTGCTAGTAAATATGTAAATGTAAAACTAGTATCATCTACGATAAAGTGCTAGTAAATATATAAATGTAAAACTAGTATCATCTACGATAAAGTGCTAGTAAATATATAAATATAAAACTAGTATAATCTACGATAAAGTGCTAGTAAATATATAAATGTAAAACTAGTATCATCTACGATAAAGTGCTAGTAAATATATAAATATAAAACTAGTATAATCTACGATAAAGTGCTAGTAAATATATAAATGTAAAACTAGTATCATCTACGATAAAGTGCTAGTAAATATATAAATATAAAACTAGTATAATCTACGATAAAGTGCTAGTAAATATATAAATGTAAAACTAGTATCATCTACGATAAAGTGCTAGTAAATATATAAATATAAAACTAGTATAATCTACGATAAAGTGCTAGTAAATATATAAATGTAAAACTAGTATCATCTACGATAAAGTGCTAGTAAATATATAAATATAAAACTAGTATAATCTACGATAAAGTGCTAGTAAATATATAAATGTAAAACTAGTATCATCTACGATAAAGTGCTAGTAAATCTATAAATATAAAACTAGTATAATCTACGATAAAGTGCTAGTAAATATATAAATGTAAAACTAGTATCATCTACGATAAAGTGCTAGTAAATATATAAATATAAAACTAGTATTATCTACGATAAAGTGCTAGTAAATATATAAATGTAAAACTAGTATCATCTACGATAAAGTGCTAGTAAATATATAAATATAAAACTAGTATAATCTACGATAAAGTGCTAGTAAATATATAAATGTAAAACTAGTATCATCTACGATAAAGTGCTAGTAAATATATAAATGTAAAACTAGTATCATCTACGATAAAGTGCTAGTAAATATATAAATACAAAACTAGTATAGTCTACGATAAAGTGCTAGTAAATATATAAATATAAAACTAGTATTATCTACGATAAAGTGCTAGTAAATATATAAATATAAAACTAGTATAATCTACGATAAAGTGCTAGTCAATATGTAAATATAAAACTAGTATAATCTACGATAAAGTGCTAGTCAATATGTAAATATAAAACTAGTATTATCTACGATAAAGTGCTAGTAAATATATAAATATAAAACTAGTATCATCTCCGATAAAGTGCTAGTAAATATATAAATATAAAACTAGTATAATCTACGATAAAGTGCTAGTAAATATATAAATGTAAAACTAGTATCATCTACGATAAAGTGCTAGTAAATATATAAATATAAAACTAGTATAATCTACGATAAAGTGCTAGTAAATATATAAATGTAAAACTAGTATCATCTACGATAAAGTGCTAGTAAATATATAAATATAAAACTAGTATAATCTACGATAAAGTGCTAGTAAATATATAAATGTAAAACTAGTATCATCTACGATAAAGTGCTAGTAAATATATAAATACAAAACTAGTATAGTCTACGATAAAGTGCTAGTAAATATATAAATATAAAACTAGTATTATCTACGATAAAGTGCTAGTAAATATATAAATATAAAACTAGTATAATCTACGATAAAGTGCTAGTCAATATGTAAATATAAAACTAGTATAATCTACGATAAAGTGCTAGTCAATATGTAAATATAAAACTAGTATAATCTACGATAAAGTGCTAGTAAATATATAAATATAAAACTAGTATCATCTACGATAAAGTGCTAGTAAATATATAAATATAAAACTAGTATACTCTACGATAAAGTGCTAGTAAATGGGTAAATATAAAACTTACCCTCTTCACAAAAGTCTCCATGCATACCGGCCGGACACGTTGGACACCTTCCTGTGAGGCCGTCACAGTTCTGGCATATACTGCTACAGTTTTCGTCACAATTAATGCCGTAAGTTCCGGCCGGACATTCTGGAAACATGTTTCATTTATATTAAAATGTCCGGGTCGTCATTTCCTGACTCGCAGTTTATAAATAGTTTTCAACATTCTTTTTTAAGACAATCTTTCGACAATCGTAAAATGTTTAGACAATCTTGAAACAGTTCAAAATGTGTTTATAAAATCTTCAAAAAATTCGAAAAGTATGTTTATAGAGTCTCGAAAGTATAAAATACGTTTTTTAATTCGTGTGACAGTGTTTATACATATAGGCTAGATCTATATCTTTATATATCTTTATATATCTTTATATATATATATATATATATATATATATATATATATATATATATATATATATATATATATATATATATATATATATATATATATATGTATATATGATATCTAGAATGGTTTAAAATATTTCCATATAATTTATGATATTCGTAACCAACCAGTTTTCTTACCGCTCGCCATGCATTCTTCTTCAGTATTTATATCGTGATTTTATTTAATTATGTCAAAAAAAAATATACATATGATTTTATGTGTATATTATTACACGCATGAAAAATAGCTCATTTGCAGCTTGTAATTATTATTATAAATTTCTAGACTCTAATAGCATATTTAAATAATGGATATATATTTTTTTACTTTAAAAATGTATAACATTTAAGTATAGAACTACAAAATTAACAAGTACTAATCATAAAACTATTTGTGGGAGTTCCCATGCAACCTAATAGAGGCATAAGTAAAAACCTGAATATGGTTTGTTGGAGTAAGTATATTATTCGAAGCTTATGAACCAAAAGAACAGACAACGATGCAAATCTGAATAGATTCACACATACCCACAATTGACGGTATTTGGATGTATGGTAATTTCATGTATCTTCTGACTGATTCTGAAAATTACGATGATAATTTCATGTACACAAATTAAAACAAAGATATATTTAAGTAACCTGTGGTAGATACAGCTGTTTCCTTGACCTTGGTGAACATACAGACAGTTTTGTCAGTTCCCTAGCTCGGTATATGTAGGGATATTTGTTTTAATCTCCAGTATATATAGGGATAGTCTGGTAAGGAACATGACATTCGTATATTTGAGGATGATTTTGTCAGTTCCCTGGCCAGTATAACCCTAACCCCAGTATATATCGGGATAGTTTTTTAGGTTTTACCTCAGCAAATGTCGGGATAGTTTTTAGGTTTTGCCTCAGTATATATCGGGATAGTTTTTTAGGTTTTACCTCAGCAAATGTCGGGATAGTTTTTAGGTTCTACCTCAGTAAATGTCGGGACAGTCTTTTGGGTTCTATCTTAGTTAATGTCTGGATAGTTTTTAGGTTCTACCTCAGCAAATGTCAGGATAGTTTTTAGGTTCTACCTCAGTAAATGACGGGACAGTCTTTTAAGTTCTACCTCAGTATATTTCAGGATAGTTTTTCAGTTGTACGCGAGATGCCGAAACTATTCCTGAAAAGTGAACTAAGCACAAGGGGTATAGGGTATCAACTTAAAAAAAAAATTCCCACACACCTAGAGGCAATATATATATATATATATATATATATATATATATATATATATATATATATATATATATATATATATATTATTTATTTAAATGTATGTATGTATATAAATATTACATTATAATCGTCAAAACTACAGTGTCAGTCAGTTGCAATGAGGTAACGCTCTTCTCCTAACATAGGATTCAAATACAACTGACCATGTTTACATGTACTGGAAACCTTAGGATCACAGGCCGGGCCACACTGCTCAGAAATTGCACAATCTTTACTGTCCTTTTGGCAAGTGCATGTGTACTCACACTCCGACCCATATCGTGACTTCGGACATATGAAATCTGGGAGACAAGACATCTAGTTTTATTGCACAAGTCGTTTTATTTCAGCGCACTAAAAAGCAAATTTATTTTTTTTTCTTCTTTTTTTTTTTGATTATAATAGTGACTACACGACCCAGTTTTCAGTTAGGAAACGGTCAAATGGGCTGCACTGCACTACACAAACCAATCTCCCATCATGCCCACCCTAACTAGTTTAACTCATTTAACCCTAAAAGAATTCCTGATCTTTGACTTAAGCTCCCGTCCAATTTCTTTGGGACTTCCATGCGGGATATGACGTTTTATGGACGCTTGCATTAAGGGAGATAACATTCTTAGTACAATATGACTATACAGATAAAATTGTAAATAAATAGAATAAGATTGAGTAGAAAAAATAATAGCGCGCAAAATGAGCGTATAATTTTTGAGCAGAATTGAGTCTTGTAATCGTGCAAAAAAAATCGAGATTTTTACAAATCTCGACGTTTTACACCTCGCTGATACACAAAAACTTAATTTTGCAATCTTGTCCGAATGTCTGTGTGTCTGTCTGTGTGTGTCTGTCTGTATGTAAACACGATAACTTGAGTACCGTAACAGCTAGGTTGATGAAATTTCATATATAAGTATTTTATCAAAATCGTAGATCCTGATCATCTTTGAGCGATTTCCGATAACGGGAAGTGGTACTTTTTCTACTTTGAATTTTTCAAAAGCCTATGACTTGAGTACTCTTTAAGATAGATAAATGAAGTTTCGCATGTAAGTATAAGATCTAATTCTCTACCTTCTGTCAAATTTTGAGTAATTTCCGTTGACCGGAAGTACTAATTTACGCTATTTCCGATTTCTCAAAAAGCGCATATAAATTTATAAAGTACAAATAATATACCGCACTATTATGCACATATTATTAGGCGTTCTCTCGGTGTGCAATTCTTTTATTTTACGAGATTCTATTCTATTATAAAAAGTTTAAGTAATTAAAAATGGATTACAAATATTGTCTATGTCCTGAGTTGCCATCCCTCGTAGTTTTTTTTTTTTAGAATATTCGAGAAAAATTAGGGGAGATCACAAGCGGTTTATTTTGTTACAGTGTCATCGAATCTTGAAATTTGAAACGAATTAGTATGGTTAAAGTGACATCTTTGGACTGATCGAAAATACCGTCATACGCTATTTCCGGTCACCGGAAATTACTCACATTTTTTAAATAAAATTAGGAGAGTATTTTTTTATATTTTTTTTACTAAATTACTTCAATATAACTGAAACATTAGTAAATGTATCGTGTTTACAGACATACATACAAACGGACAGGACGGTTAATCTACGTTTTTTCCGGCTGCGGAAGGTTATAAAACGTCAACCTTTGTCAGAATCTTAATATAGATTTTGCGTACGATTACAATGCGTCCTATGTATATCGTATACGTTTAAGTTGGCTGTGTAAATATTTTCGCTATACTCTTTATACAAGAAAGTAAAAGTTTAAGTATTAAGAAACTATTTTTTTTTTAAATTCTACAGCCCTGAAAGTGCCGTCGTCATACTGTCATACAAAAATATACACGTAAGTTTAGGGGAGATAACTCCCACTTTATTAGCTGTTTAATTGACATATACGGTCCGTGCAAGTAAGTTGTGTGCATGTAGTGCTTTATCGTATCGAGCCCGACTCTGCTGGGGTGGTTTGTTTTAAATTTTATCACGTTTTCAAATTATGTTGTATTTTGTGATTCTTTTATTGCTGTGCTCTTTATTTAGTAAATTGTGATTTTTATTTTTGTGTGTTCATGCTGTGTTTCATGTCGTGCCTTTTTTGTGGGTTATGTTGTTTGTTTTTTTCCGTGTTCGTTTATGTTTTGGTATTCCCTATTTTACTATTTTATATTGTGCATTCAATATGACCACATATCCGCCATTTGTCACACAATAGGTATACTAAACACAATCATCAGACAAGACACAGTGGTTTACTCGCCTCCAATAACCTCCACTTCACAAAAGTGGATCTTTATGTCTTCGAGGACACGGATATTCAAGTCAGAAATCGGTGGTCGGAAACCCAAGAATTCCGACACGTACACACCATCAACTTCGGTGAAAAGGATTTCGTCATAAGCTTCCCAGTCCGAGCCTATCTTGTAGTTGACTTCAAACGTTGGGACATCGTTTCCTACGAGAGTCGAAATAAAACCTACAATATTACTATGTGTTTTCTAAAGTAGGCTGGGTTATGCTGCGCAGTTTCCTACTCCAACTCTATAGCTTTTTCTTCTGGTGGGTGTTACGGTCAGCCGTAACTGTAAATCACTACACCCTATACCAATCTAAATCAAGGCACTGCACTCGTCTTTATTTGCCTGACTATACACAAGGGAAAATTCTTGAAAAAAAAAAGAATTTTATATTTTAATAAGCAACACAAATCTAGGCATTAAAAAAAATCATAAAAAAACGTTTTAATAACAAGCTTTTATGTAATAATGCACTAAAAAGTAGAAAATAAATTATAGACTACTATTTAAATAACTATAAAGAAAAGCGTGGGTCACTTTAGTATGTATTGGATACCTTTACTAATGTTAAGGAAGACACCCACGCTTTTCTTTATAGTTATTTAAATAGTAGTCTATAATTTATTTTCTACTTTTTAGTGCATTATTACATAAAAGCTTGTTATTAAAACGTTTTTTATGAACTTTTTTTCCAGTACTTTACACGTTTTATTTACAATAGAGTTACATGACTAAAAACCATTGCGCGCCTACTGAACGTGATGGCGCAGCCATTGAACGTGATGGCGCAGCTATTAAACGTGATGACGCGTGTGGTGTGGTTGGATAGACATGCCTACTAATTCGGTCCAAATTTTAATTAATTCATAAAAAAATAATTAGGCATCCAATTAAGTCAAATTTAATTTCAGATTGCATTGTCTTCATGTCTTGACCCACGTGCCAAATGTGAATCGTATCTGTCAAGTAGAAGTGTCCGAATTTTCACTCCAGCGTTTCGATCTAGACAGACTGACGACTGACGATTGACGACAGAGGAAGCGAGTTAAATAAAAGCTTGTAAAAAAAGGAATGTGTTTATAATTTGAAAATGTAACTTTTATTCTTAAAAAAAAATTACTTTAAATAAAAACAGTTTTTTTTATAAAAATTCTAAATAAAATTTATAACCAATGTACGACACTACTTCACATTAAATTATATAAATAAAAAAACACACGATTACATATAACGAATTTAGTAATAAATAAAAACAGTAGTCCACAGCATGCTGCTAATTTTTCACGTTTTAGCACACAAACACGATTGACATACACACATATACGATTCACTCTCTAACAGGAAAATATTGTAACCTAAAACCCATTTATAAATTGACAGATTGTGCGAAATCACTCAAAGATTATCCACTGTATATCGATTAGTGTGGTCGTTTACAATTCTAGCTACTCGAACTTCTCGAGCAATAGTGTAACATGGGAGCCAGACGTTTTCCCTAAAGACACTTGCCCGAATGCCGTTTGCCCGAATACCGTTTGCCCGAAAGCCGATTTCCCGAATGGACACTTGCCCGAATGCGACAAACGCCCGAATGGACACCTGCCCGAATGCGACAAATGCCCGAATGGACACTTGCCCGAATGCGACAAATGCCTGAATGGACTCTTGCCCGAATGCGACAAATGCCCGAATGGACACTTGCCCGAATGAGACAAATGCCCGAATGGACACTTGCCCGAATGCGACAAATGCCCGAATGGACACTTGCCCGAATGCGACAAATCATCCTTAAGAACCTATGCTCTTTTTGAGAGAATAGACCCCCAAACTTTCCTTACCCACACTTTTTATATCCTACCTAACATTAAACTTTCCTGCTTTTACTTCCCTATAAATGTTTCCTATGCTACAGAATTGTATGTACTATTTTTGTTTATATTCTTTAATCTCAATATAACTAAAATAGACTATAGTTTGAAGGGCAACGGAAACGTAAATAAAAGGGACGCCTCCTCAAATAGACGCTAATACTCAAATAGATCATAGGCAAACATGGGAATGTTCATCCCCAACTAATGCATGTACGGTGTAAAGCTGGTAAAATAATTGAGTAACAATTGGTATGTCTCGAAATAAAAGAGTTCAGCTCAGAAAGTTCGCCGTAGTTTGTTTTTAACCTGGTTTTCTTCTGGTGTTATTAACGGCGACCGTTTAACATTATAGCAAGCAATATTATGTTAGCGGTGTCTTTACATTCTTTAGATTAAAGTTGAGACCACCTTGTTTAAACGACGTGGTGCAGTGGCAATATCACATTTATGACACTGTGTGCTCATTAAAACAAAAAGTACGAGTCGCGGCCACTTTGTTTTTGTCAATGTGTTAAAGAAATTGACATTCTTTTTTTTTTTTTAAATGAAATGAAATATTTGGGATTTTTAAAAAGTTTTATGGAGGGAAAACAATATTTTGTAAGTTCTTAATTTTCAAAAATAAAAATAAAGTTAAACTTTTAAAAAATATAAATAAATTTATATTTTGTTAACTTAAAACGCCTATAATCAAAATGTTCAATACAAATATATTAAGAATTTATCCTTGGCTTAACAAATTTTTAGCATTTGCATTCGGGCAAATGACACCCCCCCCTATCCTGGGCCCCATTGAATGAGATATCGCTGTATAAGATGAAGTTATTATATAGAGCGATGGCTAACTATTTTTCTTGTGAAAGATGATATGACATGCACGGGTTATCTCACCTTTGACGCTGTATATCACGATGTTATTTTTAGAAGAGGGGTAAGTTAAGGAACGTCTCCAGATACAAGGGTTATCTTACCTTTGACGCTGTATATCACGATGTTATTTATAGAAGAGGGGTAAGTTAAGGAACGTCTCCAGATACAAGGGTTATCTTACCTTTGACGCTGTATATCACGATGTTATTTATAGAAGAGGGGTAAGTTAAGGAACGTCTCCAGATACAAGTGTTATCTTACCTTTGACGCTGTATATCACGATGTTATTTATAGAAGAGGGGTAAGTTAAGGAACGTCTCCAGATACAAGGGTTATCTTACCTTTGACGCTGTATATCACGATGTTATTTATAGAAGAGGGGTAAGTTAAGGAACGTCTCCAGATACAAGGGTTATCTTACCTTTGACGCTGTATATCACGATGTTATTTATAGAAGAGGGGTAAGTTAAGGAACGTCTCCAGATACAAGGGTTATCTTACCTTTGACGCTGTATATCACGATGTTATTTATAGAAGAGGGGTAAGTTAAGGAACGTCTCCAGATACAAGGGTTATCTTACCTTTGACGCTGTATATCACGATGTTATTTATAGAAGAGGGGTAAGTTAAGGAAAGGCTCCAGACATTAGTGAGGAAACAATTAGCATTGCTGGTTCGATCCCCATCCACGGTGCTAGAGTTCTCTGTCTGCTGCTTGAGAGCCAGGTTTCTTCCTATATGGAATAAACAAGTTCTAGAAGAAACGTTTGGATGAAACTAAAGATCAAAATAGGGTGTAATTGTATGTTTTTTTAATATTTTATGCTTATCAATAAAAAAAAGATATATAAATAGCCTAATTGATTTTTTTTTTAAAGGAACAAAATAAAAGTAAAAAGAGTTAGTAAAAGGAAAATGAAAGCTAAATAAAATTAACTGAATTCAATACGAATCCTAAAAAATTTCGACGTTAAATAAAGCAATTTAAAAATCCATGCTCGATTTAAGGCTGTGAAAGTTGACCAAAACATAAATTAGTTGGAGGTAAGTGAGTGATCATCACATATTCTCAGTAACAAAAACTACAATGTAAATGTTAACTGATTTCTCAGCAGAAATTTCAGTTAACGTAATGTTATATCGTATAGTTTGTTATCGTTTAACAAAATTAACAAACCAATCAAGAAGTTACTGAAAAAAAAATACCGTCATTTCATAGTAACGACCATGGTTTATATAAATTAACTTTAAATTAATCAAACGTTTAAATTATGTACACAGAAATTTTGACTGACCTCGACTCATATACATCTTGCAGACGGCTGCTGTGCCGAAATTAGAAAATATATACATATCTCGTATATCGAGGAATGGTTCGCAGAAGTAGTCAAATGTTTTAGAGTCCACGAACGAAATGTAATAGTTTTTGCAATCTATGAAATTCCTCATCGCTTGGTCTCGGAAATAGATGCTAACATAGGCCGGAATCAAATCTAAATAGAATAAAAACATTGAATGTTTTATTAATTCAGCGTGGCTGGTTGGAAGATTTAAAAGCGGGAGTGATCGCCCCTCTACCTCTCCTTGGATTCAAGCGGAATGGCCAGATAGAATAAAACAATTCAAGTTAGCAGTTAAAGTAATTGTTTTCCATGATAAAAATAAACTATAGTGATTTACGGTGTATAGCGTAATACTAGGCATGCTGCCCAGCTTCGCTTAGGCTTTCGAAAACATTGAGAATTTGAATGCTTAATTAATTCGCCCATATAAGGCGCCGGTCAGTCGAGGTCAGTTTTGACCCCCTCATCGTAGACTTTTCGGCCAACCGGCCCCCGTGTTCTGTCGCCCCAAGGCAAGATCCTGCCAAATTTGAAGCGCCTGCGGCGCCGGGAAGTGCCCTATCGGGCACCCGACAACTTAGCTTTATACATTATCTAGATCAAGATCTAGAATCTCTAGAACTATATGATCTAGAATCTCTAGATCTAGATGATCTAGAATATCTAGATCTATATCAATATCTAGATCTAGAATCTCTAGATCTAGAATCCAAATAGATAAAATAATTTTTTTAAGTTTAGGCTGAGAAAATAGTATTGTATAGGCTACATTTCATAGCGTACATAGCTCTAAATCATATTTGAATGAAATAGTTCATTTATTTTTATTCTAAACTCGGAAGATGACGTCATCAGTTTCGTACTCTTTTTTTAGTGTAAACAATAAGCGACGTCATTGTTAAATGCGTTCTTGTCCCAAGTTTATACACTTTTCCGGTTGCATAAATAATACTGTTTCTCTACATTCGAATACGCCTTTATTTTTTAAATTTTTCTTCTTTAAATAAAATTGTGGTTATACATTTAAAACATCTAACATATTATTTTCAACAAAAGTCCGTATAAAGGTATCCATATATCGCTGCCGATTCTGACGTGATGTCCGGCGAAAATATTTTGCGGACATACAGAGAGAGAGAAGAGCGCACATGGGCCATTATATATTAGGATTGTATTTATTTTAAATAATAGAACATACCCAATCATCACAACAACCTGATTCTACTAATCCAAATTAAATGTAAAGGTGTTTGCTAAATTACTAGTTGTTATTGCTTAGACTTTTTTATGTCACGGTGCGTTGTCATCGTGTCTTGACCTGCGTGAAAAGTTTAGAAGAAATCGATCCGGTAGAAGTAATCTTTTTTTTTAAGAATTTGGAAACAGCGTGAAGTAATACTTTCATTTAACGGAAATCATTTAAAATTTGATAAGATCAAGGGAATAAGATATAATACTATGTTTTAAATTTCGTCCATATAACAGAAACAGAACTCACGTCGTCAGTATAGTAGAACACAAAAATAAAGTAAGGTATGACTACCTTATATTGTTGGTCACCAAAAATTAAAATTAATCCAAGTATAATATCTTTTACTTACATACGAAATTTCCTCTAACTAACTGGAACAATGCTCACGTTATAGTCTCCAAATACAAATAGAGTAAAATATCATTACCAGTTAAGGGAAATCGTTCAAAATTTGACGGAAAAAATGCACAAGCAATGTTAAATTTCAAACACTAAACATAGACGGTACTAAAGTTGTTTTTTGTACACAGACAGAATTCCATAGTTTCCCGACCCGACAACGTGTAAACCGCCAAATTTCGGATCAAACTTGAAATATTGAAAAATAAAACTGCGAATACTTACAAATTTACATGTGATTTTTGAGAAAGATTACAATACTTCCTCTATACTCTCTCTCTCTCTCTCTCTCTCTCTCTCTCTCTCTATATATATATATATATATATATATATATATATATATATATATATATATATATATATATATATATATATATATATATATATATATATATACATATATATATATATATCCAGATAGATTAGGAGCATTATTTTCTTCCCATAAATTACTCTGGCACATTCCCCCTGATTATTGAATTCCTAAACAAAATAGCTCTCCACCCCCCCCTCCCCTTCCTTTACCCGCATAAAACATGTAATTTTTTTTTTCAACCAATTCCAAATTTACAAAGTCAAATAAAACTTTAGGTTCACAATTTCCGTGAAAGCACATACAGATTAAGAAGTATTTCAAGTCTTCATAATTACCTTCAAAAGTGAACCTAGCCCACATAAAGTAATATGTGAGAAACTTGTTGGACTCTTTCTGTTTGAAGTCACATCTCCCATCGTCGGTGTATTGTTTTTGGTGTAGAGGAAGGTCGGAATCCACTGTTACAATATATTATTTATTTATTATTTTAATATTAGAATATATTAGAATATATTATTTTTTTTTAATATGAAAATATATATTTTATTTATTTATTATTTTAATATTAGAATATATTATTTATTTATTATTTTAATGTTAGCATATATTATTTATTTATTATTTTAATGTTAGCATATATTATTTATTTATTATTTTAATGTTAGCATATATTATTTATTTATTATTTTAATGTTAGCATATATTATTGATTTATTATTTTAATATTAGAATATGTTATTTATTTATTATTTTAATGTTAGCATTTATTTATTATTTTAATAACCACAGTGCTATTATGAGCGAATTATTAAAATTTAAGACCATTGATTTGGAAAAAATCTCACTGTTATATATAGGTCAATGTTCTGTACAAAGCTTTAAAGTAATGTTATGCATATTGTATAAAGTTTACCTTTCAAACCTGTCGGTCTATGAGGTAAGTGAAGTAGAGTTCTCTTGTTTCTGTGACCTCGGCATATACCCAGCAGCCTTTACTTTCCCTAACGTGTGTTATGTTAACATCAGCTGACTTGAAACCGGATTTGAACTCGAGACTTACCAGTTAGCAGTCCAGCTCTCTACCGCTAGACCACACCGTCCCATATGCACATTGTATGCTTACATAATTTCCTTACTTAACAATCGCTTTTTAGAGACAATACATTTTTAGATCAGGATAATCGTTGCAACGTTTTTCAACAAAATTATTTAAATGTTGTTAAACTGTCTATTCTACTTGAATCTACTTTACCATACTGGCACTTGTGGCCAAAGTAGCCATCAGCACAGCCGTCTAGACACACCCCTCTGTCGTTGCAATCCGTGTTCGTCTTGCAGTGGCACTTAAACTCACACCTAGAGCCGAACCAGCCGCTTTCACAACCTGTTAGGGGTGGGGGTGGGGGTGGGGGTGGGGGTGGGGGTGGGGGTGAGGGTGAGGTGGGGGTGGGGGAGGGTCAGAGACGACTTAAAGGCTTTAAACAAAATCAGATATGGGGTCGTCCATAAACGACGTCGCACTCTTATGGGAGGAGGGGGGTTTTGTTACGATGTGTGATGTGTGATGAGGGGGAGGGGGGGGGGGGTCCAGATGGTGCGACGTCACACTTTTGCATTATAAAAAAAACAATGTTAGAAAACGAATTTTAGCTGTTGTTTCGCGTTTTAGAAAACTGTTTTAATAAACTGTAATAGGAAGTGATTAAAACAGAGGCGTAGCGAGGGGGGGGGGTGTGCGGACCGCACCGAGTGAAACCATTTAGGGGGGTGACACCAAGGCCAAAAATACCAAAATATATATAGAATAATTTGAGGGGGGGGGGGGGTTGCAAATCGAAGGTTTGAGGGGAGGTACAAATTGAAAGTTTGAGGGGGGAGAGTGCAAATCGAAAATGTGTCCCAGGGAGGGTCGCTACGCCTTTAGGGGGGGGGGGGTGACACCATTAAGTGCCGCACCGGGTGACACCCGACCTCGGTACGCCACTGGATTAAAATACTCTATTTTGACAGAGTTAAGACAAGATTTTAGAAAAAAATATCGATGTTTTAAAAAAAATTCAATTGCAATTTTTAGGGGGGTTTATAGGCTGAGGTGTGACGTGATTTTAGGGGGGGGGGTCTGGCTTTTTGTGACGACGTGTGGCGGAGGGGAGGGGGGGTAAAAATCATCAAAAAAAGCATGACGTCATTTATAGATGACTCTATGTATCAAGGGGATTATGAGATAAGCTTTAAATCAAGTTCCCACACTTCATCGTTTTATACTTTTGTTTTAAAATAGCCTCTCTAATCGCTCTAATAAACAGTAAAAAAAATCTTAACGCACCCCAGTCCCTCACGTCTATTGCATCCTTACTGTACGATTCCTTACAATGCACATATTTATTTTAACTTACATAGAGCCGATACCGATAAGGAGACTGCGACAAAGATTGTCAACTTGATACTAGCGAATGCCATTTGTGAGTGTTGATTTGGAAACCAACCTGAAAGTTTATATAAGATTGTCACATATCGTATATAAAGTTCCATTTTCGATACTCACGATCCATGGGGCCATTGTAGTGTAGTGTACCTGTTTCTGAAACCTAGAGTAGAGGGTTTGTGGTCAGCACCATGCCCAGCCGCCTTTGCTTTACCTTGTTCGATATGGGTACCCATCAAAGCTGTGTGGACATTCTACTGAGTTGAACCCGGAATTTTTATTTTGCTAATTTTTTAAAAACTTTACTTAAAGTTTTAGAGGTTATGTATTAGGGATTAGGGTTAAGTTTAGTGTTAGGCATTAAGGTAGGCTTAGGTTAGGTATTACGTTAGGGTTAGGGATTAGGTTTCAGGTTTGGTGATATTGTTAGGGTTAAACATTAGGGTAGGTTTATGGCTAGGCATTAGGGTAGGTTTAGGGTTAGGCATTATGGTAGGTTTAGGATTAGGCATTACGGTTAGACATTAGGGTTAGGTTTAGGGTTTAGGCATTAGGGTTAGACACTAGAGTTAGGTTCAGGGATAGTGATAAGGTTAGCAGATCTAGAAAAATAAGTTCCACATAGCAGGACATATTGCATAATAGGGAAATTTTAGAATCACAGAAAATGTTTCGCTCTGTTTGTTGAGAGTACGAACAGTCTTCAGGGGGCTGATTGTTGTGCAGGGCGAATAGCCGCAGCATGTACAATTGTACACGGAGATAAACAATCAAAACATGTCTCTAATTAACAGAGTGCAAGTAAATGTATCTAATTAACAGAGTGCAAGTAAATGTATCTAATAAACAGAGTGCAAGTAAATGTATCTAATTAACAGAGTGCAAGTAAATGTATCTAATTAACAGAGTACAAGTAAATGTATCTAATTAACAGAGTGCAAGTAAATGTCTCTAATTAACAGAGTACAAGTAAATGTATCTAATTAACAGAGTGCAAGTTAATGTCTCTAATTAACAGAGTACAAGTAAATGTATCTAATTAACAGAGTACAAGTAAATGTATCTAATTAACAGAGTGCAAGTAAATGTATCTAATTAACAGAGTGCAAGTAAATGTATCTAATTAACAGAGTACAAGTAAATGTATCTAATTAACAGAGTGCAAGTAAATGTATCTAATTAACAGAGTACAAGTAAATGTATCTAATTAACAGAGTACAAGTAAATGTATCTAATTAACAGAGTACAAGTAAATGTATCTAATTAACAGAGTACAAGTAAATGTATCTAATTAACAGAGTACAAGTAAACGTATCTAATTAACAGAGTACAAGTAAACGTATCTAATTAACAGAGTGCAAGTTAATGTCTCTAATTAACAGAGTACAAGTAAATGTATCTAATTAACAGAGTGCAAGTAAATGTCTCTAATTAACAGAGTACAAGTAAATGTATCTAATTAACAGAGTGCAAGTTAATGTCTCTAATTAACATAGTACAAGTAAATGTATCTAATTAACAGAGTACAAGTAAATGTATCTAATTAACAGAGTGCAAGTAAATGTATCTAATTAACAGAGTACAAGTAAATGTATCTAATTAACAGAGTACAAGTAAATGTATCTAATTAACAGAGTACAAGTAAATGTATCTAATTAACAGAGTACAAGTAAATGTCTCTAATTAACAGAGTACAAGTAAATGTATCTAATTAACAGAGTACAAGTAAATGTATCTAATTAACAGAGTGCAAGTAAATGTATCTAATTAACAGAGTGCAAGTAAATGTATCTAATTAACAGAGTACAAGTAAATGTATCTAATTAACAGAGTGCAAGTAAATGTATCTAATTAACAGAGTACAAGTAAATGTATCTAATTAACAGAGTACAAGTAAATGTATCTAATTAACAGAGTACAAGTAAATGTATCTAATTAACAGAGTACAAGTAAACGTATCTAATTAACAGAGTACAAGTAAACGTATCTAATTAACAGAGTGCAAGTTAATGTCTCTAATTAACAGAGTACAAGTAAATGTATCTAATTAACAGAGTGCAAGTAAATGTCTCTAATTAACAGAGTACAAGTAAATGTATCTAATTAACAGAGTGCAAGTTAATGTCTCTAATTAACATAGTACAAGTAAATGTATCTAATTAACAGAGTGCAAGTAAATGTATCTAATTAACAGAGTGCAAGTAAATGTATCTAATTAACAGAGTGCAAGTAAATGTATCTAATTAACAGAGTACAAGTAAATGTATCTAATTAACAGAGTGCAATTAAATGTATCTAATTAACAGAGTGCAAGTAAATGTATCTAATTAACAGAGTACAAGTAAACGTATCTAATTAACAGAGTGCAAGTTAATGTCTCTAATTAACAGAGTACAAGTAAATGTATCTAATTAACAGAGTGCAAGTAAATGTCTCTAATTAACAGAGTACAAGTAAATGTATCTAATTAACAGAGTGCAAGTTAATGTCTCTAATTAACATAGTACAAGTAAATGTATCTAATTAACAGAGTACAAGTAAATGTATCTAATTAACAGAGTGCAAGTAAATGTATCTAATTAACAGAGTACAAGTAAATGTATCTAATTAACAGAGTACAAGTAAATGTATCTAATTAACAGAGTACAAGTAAATGTATCTAATTAACAGAGTACAAGTAAATGTCTCTAATTAACAGAGTACAAGTAAATGTATCTAATTAACAGAGTACAAGTAAATGTATCTAATTAACAGAGTGCAAGTAAATGTATCTAATTAACAGAGTGCAAGTAAATGTATCTAATTAACAGAGTACAAGTAAATGTATCTAATTAACAGAGTGCAAGTAAATGTATCTAATTAACAGAGTACAAGTAAATGTATCTAATTAACAGAGTACAAGTAAATGTATCTAATTAACAGAGTACAAGTAAATGTATCTAATTAACAGAGTACAAGTAAACGTATCTAATTAACAGAGTACAAGTAAACGTATCTAATTAACAGAGTGCAAGTTAATGTCTCTAATTAACAGAGTACAAGTAAATGTATCTAATTAACAGAGTGCAAGTAAATGTCTCTAATTAACAGAGTACAAGTAAATGTATCTAATTAACAGAGTGCAAGTTAATGTCTCTAATTAACATAGTACAAGTAAATGTATCTAATTAACAGAGTGCAAGTAAATGTATCTAATTAACAGAGTGCAAGTAAATGTATCTAATTAACAGAGTGCAAGTAAATGTATCTAATTAACAGAGTACAAGTAAATGTATCTAATTAACAGAGTGCAATTAAATGTATCTAATTAACAGAGTGCAAGTAAATGTATCTAATTAACAGAGTGCAAGTAAAAGTATCTAATTAACAGAGTGCAAGTAAATGTATCTAATTAACAGAGTGCAAGTAAATGTATCTAATTAACAGAGTGCAAGTAAAAGTATCTAATTAACAGAGTGCAAGTAAAAGTATCTAATTAACAGAGTGTAAGTAAAAGTATCTAATTAACAGAGTGCAAGTAAATGTATCTAAATAACAGAGTACAAGTAAATGTATCTAATTAACATAGTGTAAGTAAATGTATCTAAATAATAGAGTGCAATTAAATGTATCTAATTAACAAAGTGTAAGTAAATGTATAACAAATGCCAACACCGATAATTTAAAAAAAGGCAAATGTCTCTAATATACATCCCAGCTCTGATGAGTACCTGACTCACGTTAGGGAAAAGTAAAAACAGGTAGGTGTAGTGCTAATCGCACCAACCCTTTAAATGTCGAGGTCTAATTAAAAAATTTAAAAAGCATGCATTATAAAATTAACATGGCTACAAAATATTGTCTTTTTTGTTTTTTTCGGACATTACTAAAGATTGGGAGTATGTGATGATTTTAGTATTTTCGGTAACTAAATAAAAAAATTTCAAAATAGCAAAAAAAATTGGTTTTTGCGTGTAATTGCGATATAAACAATGGCATCCTGCTATTCGATAGGCTAGCATAAATTTTATTGTAAACAAAATATGCCTGAACTAGGTCATATGGTTTTAATTTGCATTGTTATTTAAAAACTGTATCTGCTAAGTTTTGTAAACAAAAAAACTACAAAGTGGGCTGTCAGAAATCGATCACGTAGTTCCTGTACAGCCAATCAATGTTTGTCTTAAGAAAGTGAACTGCCGTGGTTATCACTTAAGCTTGATGAAAATAAATTAAAATATAGCCTTAAACATAAACTCAACAAACTATTTTTTAAATTATCTGGATTTGCAACTTTTATTACATTGGTTCTAAAAACATTGAATTTCTGAATTAATTTTAGGCTTGAGTTTTTATTTTTATTATTTTTACGGTCGCTTTGCTTGCAAAATCTAAAAATAAACTTTTTTTTCAGTGGCGTAGGCGGGGGGAGGGGGGGGGGGGGTTAGGGGGGGTCATAACCTCCCCATAGACCCCTCGGTATATATATCTATATAAAGTATGAGGGGGGGGGGTGCAAATCGAAATTCTGAGGGGGGGGGGGTGCAAATCGAAAGCTTGTCCTTGGGTAGAAATTAGACCCCCCCCCCCTTGAGACGATCCTGGCTACGCCACTGCTTTTTTTAATCTAAGTCAACAATATGATGGAAGGATTCTTGTCAACTCGATCGCCTCCATTATCGAAAATAAATAGCAGATACTTGCGCTAGTGGCTATCCTTTACTAAATTTTACTTACTATAAAGGCGAATTTAGGCACAGAGCTTTGCTTATACTTTCGTAGAAAGCATTGAAATGCTTCCACACATTTATGTTAACATCCATAGCAAGAGAAGCAAACTACTTCCTTAAATAAGTTCTAAACATTAAAAATGTATATTTCAGCCATGTTTTTGGTGTTTGTAAAAAAACAAACAAATGTGTTGCTCTACTTTACTGCGTCATTAATTTGTGCGTCATTTGGATTCGAGGTTATAGTTTTGCTATTTATGTAAGTAATGTTAAAATAGGCGAAATCCTACCGTTTTCTTATTGGGCTTGTAAGTTGTTAAAGTAGCTTACCAAGTTCTCGCTCCGGTAGTTGCCAGCTGGTGTTTTTTTTTTTTTTTCAAACCAAATGTGAATATTTTTTTTTTTTTTTTTTTTTAAAGTTATGAAATCTACTTTCGTTTTTGGAATTAAAAAAACTCCGACAATAAGTTGTTTTAAGTAAATTAAGTTTAAAAAAACACACACACACAAATATATTATATTTTATATAGATCTAGATAGATCTAGAATACAACCTGTATAATAATAATACATCTATAATCTATATAAAATATGATATTATTTATAGGCCTAAAAGATTTCAATCGTAAATCTGAAATCAAGCCTAATTTAATTAATAAATATATATAGCCTAGATCTAGAGTCTAGATTTCTAGATCTAGAATTCTATATCTAGATCTAGATCTATGACTTAAAAAAAAAACCCTCTTGAAAATTCCGACTTAGACAGTAACATACGACATACAGGATGTATTTTTAATTTTAGTCTAGAGATCTCGATTCTAGATCTAGTTTCTTTTATTTTACAGTGTAGTTGAGTGGAATTAATTACTAAATTACTAAATAGGCTATTTACTTTAAGACAGGTAGACTAGAATATGTTCAATATCAATTTATATATAGAATCTAGATTATTCTAGATCTAGCGAAGTTTAGTGTAGTCTTGTTGTAGAACTTAAGAACTAAATCTAGAGTGTAGGCAACTGTAGTAATTTAGATCTAGAATCTAGTACTGTGTGACGTCATTTTAGGGGGTGGGGGTCTGGCTTTTTGTGACGATGTGTAGGGGAAGGGGGGGGGGAGGTAAAAATCGTCAAAAAATGCGTGACGTCATTTATAGATGACCCCCATGGAGAAGATCCACACAGAAACAGTTTAAGGAAATGGGCCTAACATTCAAACAGGTAGAGGTACCAACATGATTTTAGAGATTATGTAGATATACATATATATATATATATATAGGGGGAGGCGGGGTAGAGAGAGAGAGGGTTCATCTGTAAATTGCATCACACATTTTATGATGATTTTTACCTCCCCCTCATAAAGGAGGGCAGTAAAAAGAAGAATGTATGATAGCTAGGTAATCCTAATTTATATAATCAGATTATTGTGGTAAATAAAAGTCAACATATCTAGCCTAACAAAATGCCATGAATTTAAAATATATATTATGACTTAGAGAAAGTTTGGTGAAATGGAAATATCTGCAAATTTGATTTATTGATGATGTGTAACTTGTTTATATTATTCCTTTGGAGCTGATATTAATAAAAAGTTAATGAAATTATAGAGTTTTATCCAATTGATGTTTCTAAAGCCTTGCATGAACTTAATTTAAATATATTTAGCTGCCCAGGCAAAGAACCCAATGAATTTTCCAGAATTGGCTTGTCGTTTGACCGATGGTAACAAAGAGAATCACCCAGGATCTTCGCTGATAAGAAAATCTGAAGACATACCTTATTCTTCTATATCTAAATGTGATTTGTCTAATGAAAATATTTATTCAGTGACAATTGCTAAAGATATTTTACCATTATTTCAAACATCATCTTCTGAAATGTTGTTTTCTATCTCTAAACCTTCCACAATTTCTTCAAGTTTCAAGAGATATTTTAACATCATTGCCTACTTCCCACAGTTCTTATGTTCAAAATTTGCAATTTTCTGAGAAACAAAGTAATAATAAATTTGTACCCAGTGTTTTAGTTTCAGCTCCATTAAAATTTAATAAACCAATCAATTTAAAAATTAAATGTTTCTTATCCCATATGAAAGTAGTCTGTTTTATTTAAGAAAAATCACCTTTAAAAAAATTTAATGTTTGAATGTCAATAAATTGTTGACATGGACTGGTTTGCGGGTAAGCTTTTATACTTAGTGTACAATAAAGATTCAGTTTTGATGTCAATATAGTTGCTTCTGAAAGAATTAAACTATAAACAATAGCATTTATATTAATATCTCAATGGCAGTTCAGTATACTTTCATCATTGTTTTCAAATAACAAAACAGAACTACAGTTTTAAAATTGAAAAAGAAAATGAAAAGAATTTCATAAATGGATGGTTTTTTAATTACTTAAAACAGAAGATGCATCAATACAGCATTACAATGTATATGATTAATATTTCTTTTCATGGACAATCATAAATTTAAATTATTCATTAAAAGTTAAATTCAGCTTCCTTGTGTCTAAAAATCCACATCCATGCTGTTCCATTTACCTAGAAATTAAATAAATAATATTTTTAACAACTTTCTGTAATATGAAAAAATTAATCATTGATTAAAACAGACAGCCAATATAGCAGTTGAATTAAAATTCACATGTTTCTGTGACATTTGCATGTAAAATTAGAGTGTTCAGAGGTATATACCCAGCCACCTTTAATTTCCCTATCTTGAGCCAGGTACTCATGAGAGCTGGTACTCATGAGACTTAGGACATCATACCAGGACTAAAACCAGGGATCTGAACTCTTATCTTTTAGGATAGAAATGTGAAAGCTACTGTCTGACAGTCCCACTATCAAGCCATACATATTAATACTTACAGTATATAATCTTAGTAGCAACATATTCTTTAAGAATTAGAACACTGAATCGATTTCAAACTTGGGCTTAAGCTGAAAAATGGCTTATTATAAAAAAAAAATTCAGCTCACCTTTAGTTCAAGATCAGCACCAATAGCCACAGTAAAGTGTGAGAAAATTGCTTGCCAAGTACCTAGGGAATTTAAATATAATAAATTATTAAGTTTATCCATATATTATATTAAAATAATTATTTAACTAATATGAGATATTAATATATATATATATATATATATATATATATATATATATATATATATATATATATATATATATATATATATATATTTATAAAAGGTTTAATTTATTGTAAAGGTTCAGTTTTCTATCTACTTAGCTTGTCTTAAAAACTAAAATATCTGGTTTACAGTTAACCATATCTTAACTATTACAAAACTATTAGTTTCATTTTCATTACTTGTAACTAAAAATTGTAGTCAATAGATCTAAAACTTAATTCTATTAACAGCTAACTGTAACCATACTGACTCTGACCAATTTATTAATTTTTGTACCCTGTAATTCATTAATAATTAGGCTTATACTAAAAGGCCGAAAGTTATCAATTGTAGATTTTATAGTCCCTGGTCTAGACTAACAAGACTAGCCTACAAGTCTAATAGTACTAATACACATGATCTAGTTTATAAGTTTACTACTAGGCAACTTGCTAGAAGACTAGTACTTAACCAAACTTTAACTTGCTAAAAATAAAAGGGCCTAATACAATAGTAGATGGCCTAGTAATACTTTTTTTTTACTGTGCTACTTACACTGCTTTTGGTACTATTACTATAATACTATGACTAACTAACTACTAACTAAACTAGCTTGATGGAGATCTATCATCTTGCTCTTCTAGTAGTCTACACTACTTACTACTTAGAAAAGTAGTAGCACTACTGTAACAATTTCAAACTAAATTTAATCTATATATTACTAGATCTAGATCTACTCATTGCAACACTGTAGTCTGATAAGTCTGTAAGCCCTAAATGTATCTAGACCTAGATTCTAGTCTAATTTAGTTTCAGTCTAGTTATTAGTACCTACACTCTACAATAGTCTACAGTACTCTACACTATGCTACACTCTACTACTACTCTAATCACTCTACTGGCTACTGATCTAGATCTAGTAAATAGCTAGAGTAGATCTAGTCTAGATTCTAGATATAAAAAAATTGATTTAAAATTAAAAACAGGTTAGCCTTACTAGGCATTACTAGCTCTTACTAAACTTAACTCAATAACTAGGGTAGGTTTTACCTAAACTAGATCTAATCTAGATCTAGAATCTATCTAGATCTACTACATTCTCTAGATCTAGATTTTAGATCTAGGGCCTACCATACTACCATCTGCAACTAGAATCTAGATCTAGATCTATTCTACTATCTCTATCTAGATCTAGTAATACTATCTATCTAGCCAACTACAAGCTACTTCTAATAACTAATCTAATAGCCTACTAATAGGCCTACTTCTAAAATATTAAACAGTAATCACTGAGTAATCAGTACTAGAGTCTAGTTCAGTAATCTAGCTAGATCTAGATCTAGGTCTATTAACATTAACTCATTAACATTGTTGTCTAAGTTCTAGATATCTAGATCTAATATCTAGATCTAGAATCTAGATTCGATTAATAAGTAAGTCGTAGGCTGAGTGAGACTGGAAGTCATCCTCATTTTCCTGTTGTTTTAGTTACCGTCATCCTTTTCTTAATATTTTTAATATTTTATCTAGATCACTAAAATACTAGATCTAGAATCTAGTTCTAATATATTCTAATTCATGAACTTATACTCTTAGAACTAGATTAAAGCAATGTAGATCTTAGTTGGTAGATTCTAGAATCTAGATCTAGATCTAGGTCTAGGTCTGGGAATCTTAAGTCTAGATCTAGATCTAGATCTAGATCTAGTAGCAAAGACTGAGTTGAGTCAGAGTAATGTCCCCCCTAGCCTTGGACAAACTATCAACAAAAGAAATAAAATCAATATACTTACCGCCACAAAACTTTTATATTCAAAAATGCATACACATGTGTTTGTTCCCATTCATATGAACAAAACAGCGTTGAAAGTTTTTACAGTTATTGCATTTCTGGAACGTTTGATGATTTTGAAATCTTGAAGCGGGACCTACTAACAAATAGCCGCCATGTTTTTTGTTATCAATGGGAAACCCCGTTCACAACAATTGATTTAGTTCGAAAACTTTTATCTCTCCCTGGCTAACCAGACACGAATTAACGCGAGAAAGAACGATAAACTTACAAGTTCTATACTACAGTCTACTCATAATAACCTATTTCTAATTTAAACTCTAGTCACACAATACAATTACTATTCCAAAGTTTGTAATCTTTTATCATAACACTTAACTATATTCGAAGTAAAAACTGTACATGAATTAGAATTCAATATTACAATGTATAATATTATCATGGTCCAAACATGTTTATGATATACAGAAATAGCACAACAGTGTGTTTCTGGTTATAAATTACACATGTTACAACAAAATTATGTTCTTGGATAAAAAAAAAACAATTATAATTTTTAGTGAAAACCTTTTGGAGCGAATACTAAAACAAATGACAACATCTGATGACGTAATACACATGAAATATTCAGGCAGAACAACTTAATTTATACAAACACACAAATCGTAACTAGAAATGTTATTTTAAGGCTGTTTTAGGTTTGAGCAAACGTGTTCAAATTATGGCTACGAACAAAGGTAACGCTGGCTCTTGTGTTGTAGTACATACATCTATACATATTCATTTGTGTAGTATACATCAACTTGAAAGATAATCTAGATCTAGTACCGTGATACATTATATAGTGATCACAGTAGGCCTATTTATAATGACAGTGTGTTATTTAACAGCTCATCTGCTATTGTACTTATTCACGCTGTTTTAGAGACAACAAAATCGATATAATAAACCTGAGCACTAAAATATTGATAACTTTGTTATATATTTTACACAAAAATATAATAAAGTTGTATTCTAAAAAAATAAATGACTAGAGTAGGCTGAAGACGTATCTCCGAACCCCCCCTCCCCCTCGCACCAAAGAAAGTCTACCGCCCCCTCCCCCCCCCCAGAACGAAATGGAAATTTATATAGAAAATATATACTTTTATCAGTGTCTGTTCTCCACCGCCCCCCCCCCCCCCCCCCCCCGTCTACCGGAAAATTGAGTTCGCCCCCCTCCCCGAAAATATTAAGTGCCCCCGGAGAAAAAAAGTCTGGAAGAAACACTGATGAGAATTGTGATGTTGATGATAGCAAAAAAAATTACAGCATTGTATATTGAATCTATTGACTCTGTAAAACGTTGCACCATGTATAACCACCATGTATAACCACCATGTATAACCACATGTATAACCACCATGTATAATCACCATGTAAAACCACCATGTATAACCGCCATGTATAACCACCTTGTATAACCACCATGTATTATCACCATGTATAACCACCATGTATACATTTATAACCACAATATATAACCAACATGTATAACCACATTACTCTCAAAACCCTAAGACGACCGTGCATGACGTCATTGATTGTATTCCAGAGCCAGAGAAGAGGTTGCTGGTGAGCTTCGACTGTTTTATCTTCTACTGGTACGTCATCAGTCTGGTCATCTTCTGTCTCACCAAGCTGGTCAAGCGCTGGAGGGGGAGTGGCCAGTCAGGTGGCCAATAAGGTATGCATGAGGGGGAGTGGCCAGTCAGGTGGCCAATAAGGTATGCAGGAGGGGGAGTGACCAGTCAGGTGGCCAATAAGGTATGCAGGAGGGGGAGTGACCAGTCAGGTGGCCAATAAGGTATGCAGGAGGGGGAGTGGCCAGTTAGGTGGCCAATAAGGTATGCAATTGGGGGAGTGGCCAGTCGGGTGGCCAATAAGGTATGCAGGAGGGTGAGTGGCCAGTTAGGTGGCCAATAAGGTATGCATGAGGGGGAGTGGCCAGTCAGGTGGCCAATAAGGTATGCAGGAGGGGGAGTGACCAGTCAGGTGGCCAATAAGGTATGCAGGAGGGGGAGTGACCAGTCAGGTGGCCAATAAGGTATGCAGGAGGGGGAGTGGCCAGTTAGGTGGCCAATAAGGTATGCAATTGGGGGAGTGGCCAGTCGGGTGGCCAATAAGGTATGCAGGAGGGTGAGTGGCCAGTTAGGTGGCCAATAAGGTATGCAGGAGGGGGAGTGGCCAGTCAGATGGCCAATAAGGTATGCAGAGGGGGAGTGACCAGTCAGGTGGCCAATAAGGTATGCAGGAGGGGGAGTGACCAGTCAGGTGGCCAATAAGGTATGCAGGAGGGGGAGTGACCAGTCAGGTGGCCAATAAGGTATGTAGGAGGGGGAGTGACCAGTCAGGTGGCCAATAAGGTATGCTAGAGAGATGGCCAATAAGGTTTGCTAGATGGCCAATAAAGTATGCTAGAGATTTGGCCAATAAGGTATGCTAGAGAGATGGCCAATAAGGAATGTTAGATAGATGGCCAACAAGGTTTGCTAGATGGCCAATAAAGTATGCTAGAGATTTGGCCAATAAGGTATGCTAGAGAGATGGCCAATATGGTATGCTAGAGATTTGGCCAATATGATATGCTACATGTATGGCTCATAATACGTGCTTGATGTAAGTCCTATTGTGGAAATAATAAATCTGAAAATATGGTTGTAAATTGTTTATATATTACTACATCATTGGTGATGGTACGGTATGGTTGAACCCCAAAGTCTCTGTCATAAATCGAGCGCTGAGTAAACTCAGTTTTAATGGGTACCTGACATATATTATTGAAAGAAAACGGTAGTTTTTTTACATGTTGAGGTAGCAAAAACTATTCAGCTCTTCTTCACCACTGGAACCGCCATGTGTAAAAGAATAACTTTACTTTTACTATATCACAGTATAACTGTAGATGTAAAGACATATACTATTTTTAATATCGTTAATACCTATGTTAGACTCCGCATAATAGATGTGTTTGTATAATAAACAGTATACATGTGATAAGTGTCGCAGATATATCCATACACACTCACACACACAGCGCTATTAATACAATGATAAACTGGCCACAACGTGTATATTTTATTCCCAATTTCAGTCAATTAACATGAGTTTGTATAGTGTTTTTTTCTGCCATAACTTTGACTTAAAACTGTACAGTAGACCAACCCTAAACATTCCACTAACCCAAAAAACCAAACCCTTATATAAATTAGCTTAAATTATGACGCTAGCTTAGAACTTAAGCCAGCAACTAAGATCAGTACTTACAAACAACTCCACACATTTGAATTCATGTTCAGAATATGTTTATTTATAAGAAACCCATCATACCAGTAGATTTGTTATAATAATTGTAATTGTTTGCAACTTCCATTGTGCGTTTTTAAGTTATGGTTATTTTTTTTTTGTGCAAAGCATGTGATGGTTAATTTTGTTGCCTGTCATTTATGTCTATGTCAAAGTTAATTTTGACGTTCTTTCTGTATTAGAGTAGATTGATTGTTCATATTAGGTAGACCTATACGTCGTTGTTAATTTGTTTACGGTCATTCTGTTATGTCTTTGTCGTGGTAACTTCTACTAAAGCTACTTGAAGTCTGCCAATTATATTATTTTCTAGCTGCCTAAAATGTAACATCAGATGAAATAGCCTCATTCTACGAACGACTAAAATGTAACACCCGATGAAATTGCCTCATTCAACGAACGACTAAAATGTAAAATCTGATAAAATAGCCTCATTCTACGAACGACTAAAATGTAAAATCTGATGAAATAGCCTCATTCTACGAACGACTAAAATGTAAAATCAGATGAAATAGCTTCATTCTACGAACGAATAAAATGTAACATCAGATGAAATAGCCTCATTCTACGAACGACTAAAATGTAACATCAGATGAAATAGCCTCATTCTACGAACGAATAAAATGTAACATCAGATGAAATAGCCTCATTCTACGAACGACTAAAATGTAACATCAGATGAAATAGCCTCATTCTACGAACGACTAAAATATAAAATCAGATGAAATAGCCTCATTCTACGAACGAATAAAATGTAAAATCAGATGAAATAGCCTCATTTACGAACGACTAAAATGTAACATTAGATGAGCCTTATAGACCGTCAACCTCTCATTTAATGACACAACCGCTATTGAAGAACGTCAGTTATGTTGCAATTTTTAACATCTACATTCTATATCAAGTAATCTGAATTTACTATCAGATATGTATGAAACATCAATAAAAAAACATTAAATGTTGATTATTTAAGAGTTTGATGGATTAATATTTATTGTGGTTTGTGTCGTAAATCAGATTGAGCTATTTCCATATCTTCACTTTAAACTAAATTTAAGGTAAAATATTTTATTTGGTTCAATGTTCAATTGCTTTAATATATCAAAACAAATACACATTCTATACAAATAACAAAATATATTTGCACTTATTTGAATGTTTATGTTTTTTAAATTATTAATTGTAGTTATATGATTCGCGGCTAAATTGAATTGACAATAACATTTCAGGCGTTACAATACACACACACACACACACACATATATATATATATATATATATATATATATATATATATATAGAGGGAGGAAGAGAGACAGACAGACAGACATACAGACAGACAGATAGACAGACAGACAGACAGACAGACAGACAGACAGACAGACAGACAGACAGACAGACAGACAGACAGACAGACAGACAGACAGACAGACAGACAGACAGTGAGAGTCAGAATCTTTTAGCTTAACATCTAGAACCAGCTAAAGATAGAATGCACATGCATTTAATGTAAAGTCTTTTTCTTCATCTAAACATATATCTCTGGCCATCTAGGTTCTATAGCTTGCTTTATTCTTTGCACTGACGTGTACACCATTGAAACGAATTCCCTTCTATACGAGTCAGTACAACTATTACACATGCCGCCTCCGTATGTTTTTCTCCCATAGACTGTGCACATTTACGAAAAAAAAACTACAAAGGCGAAGTTATTTGTACAGTTGTTTTTTTTTTCTCCTAGATGATTTAAGCCCCTTGCGAACTAGTCTCATCTGCCCCGGAGTCCGAACTTGGGTCATTAGGAGTTCTGATCAAATGCTCTTGCATCCGACTTCACCGTCCCCCACCTTTTATCAAAGTTCGCTTTTTTAACGCCACCAAAACAAAACCAAATCCACAAAAGACTAGCTTTTAAAACGTTTGGAAAAAAACCAGAAGGCATGCTAAAATTACGATTCAGCGATGCGTTCATTTTATACCCGTTTCATTGCAATGCAATCAGTATTTGTATCGTTTACGACTCTAAATTGGAACCTATTTCCAAGGCAACCGTGCTCTGTTTCCTTGGCAACATTGTCCTTTTTCAAAGACAACAGTGTACTTTTCAATGGCAACATTGTATTTTTTCCAAGGCAACATTGTATTGTTTCCATGGCAACATAATTGTATTGTTTCCATGGAAACATTGTACTGTTTCGTTGACAACAGTGTAGTTTCTCCATGGTAACTTGTAACCAAATAGCAAAATGAAACATGTCTGTTGGATACACGAAGGCATAAGCTTTAGTGTTTAAACATTGGTCTCCTTAATTAACTGTACACATCACAATGTCTTGCTAAAATGCACACATGTGTAAACAATCCAGATCGCACTGTTAAAATAAAAATGTCCACACACAAACAATGTGAATAAAATACCTCGTGGACTGTAGCAGTTTGGTTTGTGGGGGCAGGTGGGGCTAATCCACACGTGTAACACATGTATGGTGAGCAGTGTGTCGGTGACTGTTAATGACGTCATCGCAATACTGACGCTGGCTTGGGTTATATGTCTTAGTATTATTGTAATAAATATCATGATAAGAAGTAATCAGAATTCCAGAAGTAAATCGATTTTTCAATGCACAGTGTAGAAACCGTATAGTGAACGCTAGAAAGAAAAATTAGTTTGTATGTAAACAACTCAAGGAAGAAGTGAACTAGTTTGAATACAAAAAAATCTACAAAATGCAATTTCTTTTCGTTAGGAGGCCTGACTATAAATGACTAAACCTTTAAGTTTTTAAAAATCAAATAATCTGCATTATTGTCTTATGGTGGGTTCTTCGTATATAAGTTGATGACAGCGAGCTTCTCAATACGTAATTAGGTTCCGTGGAATTATGATGCTCCCAAGAGTTTATTACATGACGCTTATATTCTCAGTATCTAAAGATCAAATCGTCTGCGTAATTGTATTAGGGTGCACAAATTAGTTTATAATTAGATGAAGATTATCCGGGTGTGATGTTATATTTGTGTCTTGAAGTTGATCCTGGTTGTAACTCACACATCCGCCCTTTCTACGAACACTCGCACAGTGTGTATATCTAGCAATACTATCTATTACAGACACACAGAACAATGTATTGGATCACAACTGACCAATCAGCTGTTTCGGTGTCCATACTTCATTTATACAAGATTATGCTAGTGTATGTATGAACCTAACATTATCTCAAAAAGAAGCAGACAATATTACAAATACAACCGATCCGCACTCTGCTAGATCTTATGAACGGTCTAGGACTTAAGCATTACATGAATTTGTTTGAAATTTTAAATTCTAGTAGATTTTTTCCCTTTACTGTGATATTTTGTTCAAAATATTCCAAGAAAATTTCAGCTTTTGCACTCGTGTTGTGCTTGAAATGTAAACAAAACAAGTCAAATCCCTTTTAGTGAGTCCTACAAATCCAAACACTCTAGGCGAGTCCTACAAATCCAAACACTCTAGGCGCGTCCTACAAATCCAAACATTCTAGGCGCGTCCTACAAATCCAAACACTCTAGGCTAGTCCTACAAATCCAAACACTCTAGGCGAGTCCTTCAAATCCAAACACTCTAGGCTAGTCCTACAAATCCAAACACTCTAGGCGAGTCCTACAAATCCAAACACTCTAGACGAGTCCTACAAATCCAAACACTCTAGGCGCGTCCTACAAATCCAAACACTCTAGGCGAGTCCTACAAATCCAAACACTCAAGGCGAGTCCTACAAATCCAAACACTCTAGGCGAGTCCTACAAATCCAAACATGATAACCTGAGCATGCAGCTCTTGAGTTCCATTCACAGGCTCGCGTCCGTATGATGTTCACATAAACACAGCTTTAGAAACGATTTGCAACATGATATTGCCCTAGTATGAAATCAATCGTCGGAGTAAACCAAAACGTATTTTACTGTCTGTGATTGCGCCTGGTATTAAAACTTTTATTCAAGTTAATTAAACCTAATAGTAATGAAAATATAATATTCTATGATAAAATTATTTAAAAGTAAATTAACTACTTTATCAAGTAATAACATATACATTAGTTCTACATTCTTACAATAGACTATTATTATGTAACAATATACGAGTAGCAATATTTTATACTTTTTACCATTCTTAATTAAGTTATAATTACCAAGCAATATTGCTTTAATTTAAAAATTCGAAACTTACTTATTAACTTAAGTTTCACTATGCAAAAAGATTCAGATAACATGAGGTAACGAATAAGTAAAGACATGATACTATATTTTACTGTAATTTTACTGTAATTTTAGAATAGACAATGAGTTATTAAAGCAATCTTGTATTACTTTATAGTACTCATACGTGCTGGTTTGAAATACATTTCAATTAATCTTGGTATATTTCATGATTTGTTGTAGATAGCTTATCGTTTCTACTTTACCAATACGCACGTTGTAATTATTGCAGAATCTTAACTTAACCTGAAGATCGATTCGTTATTTTAAAATAGACACCTGGATACAATTTGATATTACCATTAATAAAACATTGTTGTTGTTTTTGTTTTACATAATTTTATGATTGGGATTAAACGTTGGCAAACCTGTCATGGTTTTTTTCAATGTCAGGGTTTGCTAATAAATAAAAAAAAAATCTGAACAGTCAGTGTTTAGCTTGAACGTAAACACGACATTGTTTCTGTCGTTTAACGTTCCGTACTACAGTGTTATCTAACGCACCAACAGTCGTTGATACGTCGTCGGTCTAGAACGTTCGTGAATAATATTGAGCGCATGATTATCGATGACGCGCTGCAGTTTCGACGCATACAAGGCTGAAAGAAACAAAAATCTGTAATCAATAAGGTTGCGGGGGGGGGGGGGGGGCGGTAAACGTACAAAGCCAACACCCGATTTGTCCCTGCACTTAACAAGTACTCGAGGGTTGATCACCTACCGTATTTTAACATTGTGAGCTTAAGAGCTAAATATAAACACTGTATTGTAGTGTATAATGTCATTGACGCATTGTTTATTTACTGATATAATGGTATAAAAGACAACTCTATATACTTCAGAACATCTGGCTTTTTCGATATAAAGCCGAAATATACAGATCATTTGTAAGGTGAATGTGCTAAGTATGTATCAATACTTTATCAGCACTTCTACTTCAATCACCAGCAGAAATTAAAATTTACAACTGGAAGAGAAAAAAAAAATTCAATTCTACAAATATATTAAAATCTACTTTCTAACAGACTCTCAGCCGCATTAGAACCATCTGTCGAGATGTGTAGCCTACTTGCTTACATCATATTTAATTTAAAAGGTATTAGAATTTAAAAACAACACATGACTCTTTAGGAAGACATTTTCGTACCATAGGGGTCATCCATAAATAATGTATCGCTTTTTTTTGACGATTTTTACCCCCCCCCCCTCCCCACCTCCGTCACACATCGTCAAAAAAAGCCAGACACCATCCTAAAATCACATCACATCTAACCCTACAACCCCCCCCCCCCCCCCCTCAAAATTGCGGTTGAATTTTTCTTAAAACATCGATATTTTTCCAAAAACTCAGCCAACTTAGAGTATTTTAATCAATTCCTATTACAGTTTATTAAAACAGTTTTCTAAAACGCGAAATAACGGCTAAAGTTCGTTTTCTAACATTGCTTTTTTTCAAAATTGTGACGCCACTCCATCTGACTCCCCCCCCCCCTCACCCTCATCACACGATCACAAAATTTCGGACCCATCCCCCCCCCCTCCCCTACGAGTGTGAAGTCATTTTTGAACGACCCCCATAGTAAAGAAAGGTGTATCCAAATCTCAGTTCAATACGTATTCTATATTCCTTATATAAGAAAATAATAACAGATCATGTCCCTTAACAAATAATTTTGTGTAACATTATTTTATCTACATTTTTATTCCGAAAATTTGCAAAATAACTTATTGAAACTGAATAATTTAAGTACTATTTAGATCTAGTTCTGGAAAATGTTTTCTTTTAATTATGCTCGTCATTAGTGGTGTATACACATTCAAATAGTTTAGACTCTTTTCATAGGAAACTTTACCGAAGATATATAAATTCAAATAGTTTAACTAGACTCTTTTCATAGAAAACTTTACCGAAGATATATACATTCAAATAGTTTAACTAGACTCTTTTCGTAGGGAACTTGAACTAAAATATATACATTCCTATAGTTTAACTAGACTCTTTTAATAGGAAACTTTACCGAAGATATATATGCCTACCACCTTTTCCGATTTCAACACGATTTCAAACATACATGATTGTATTATTAATATATTGTTAAAATACTTTGATTTGAAATAAATAAGTGCACGGGTCAATTTAAACTTTACATTTTACTAATACAAAAAAATTGATAAAATGGCAATCAAGCTAGTGACATTCTGGTTTCTTTTTTTTAAATAAAAATTCTAGGCTGTAAGCACATTATTCTTGATTATTCTGTCAGTCAATACAAATCACGCTTACAGATAATCATGAAATCGATGAATTTCGAAATTTCTAGAACAAACATTACCCCGAGGTAACGTTCTTGTAGTTAAATTCCAAAACAATTTGATTGACTAAAGTTGACTGAATTAATTTTAGTCACTTAGTTCGACATCGAAACGCCTAGCTTTGTTTCAGTGCCCGCTGGGTACCGTAGTACAGAAGGGAGGTAAATGGTGCCGGATGTTTTAATTAACATTGATCTGACAATCACACCCAATCATCCAATCATCCAATCAGCTGCGAGTTTGACGACGCTATCGATTTGCATCCTGGTTTCAGATAACCTACGGCAAAATATCGTTCTAGATCTTTCTGAACTGTCTTACACCCTATCATCTTCTTACCGACGTAAGAATTTATGCCATGAACGACACCAGTTGAGAATACACTCCTCTTATAGCAAAACTACAACAGATTAGAATAGAAGCTTTCCATTGCGAACAAGATTTTATGTCTTGAAAATATAGCAATGATTTGTATGAAGTATAATGTATAAAATAAATCTAAACCAAATGGTTTGTTCATCTTAAATCAAAAGTATTAAATCTGATAGCAATACTTTATTTAAGACCTAAGTAACAAATAACGCACATAACACATTTTAAATATAATTTTATAACGTGTGATTTTTATAAATCTCTTTTCGATATGCTATTACCTACTCAGTAGAGACTAAAATGTGTTTTTTAATGTTGTCCAGTACACCAGTTAATGTGAATAACATCAAATAAGTTTACCTGCCAATACTGAGGCAATCAGACAAAATATCGACCGTTATTTAGAATCCCAACCGTTTAAGAATCCGCTGAATTGATCAGTATACTATTACTAGTGTAAATTAACTTAACTTCTAATCTATTTAAATTCTTGTTATATATTTTGAAGAACAACTAAATTCAACTGAAAGTTTTTAAAAACAAAAGCGATATTTCTGAGTTAACTAGAAGTAGCACACTTATGCATAGCATAGTTTATTAAAACATGGAACAGTGGTTCTTAACCTGGGTTCAATTGAACCCCGGGGTTCAGTTATCCAGTTTAAGGGGTTTGTAGGGTCAGTATCGTAGCGGGGGGGGGGGGGGGGGGGCGGGGGGGGGACATATGTCCCCGGGCGCCAAGCTTAGGGGGCGCCAAAATGGGTTGGAAAAATAAATTGAAAGGTTGAGGGGGGGGGGGGTGCACATTGAAAGTTTGAGGGGGGTAGCAAATCAAAATCTCGAGGGGGTGCAAATCGAAAGTTTGAGGGGGGGGGTGCAAATCAAAATCTCGAGGGGGGGGGGGGGTGCAAATCGAAAAGTTTTGTCCCCGGGCGCCGGGAAGGGTCGCTACGCCTCTGTGTAGGGTGTAAAGACACACCCCGACTCATGGTTCACTATTAAGTTTTGTCCGTGTGGACGTAGACCTTTACACGGGTTCGGCGAAAGCGTATATGAAACTGGTGGCGCTCAGTACCAAAAATATTAAGAACACTGATAAACAGCATAGCTTTAAAGTATTAGCTGATGTTAAATGTGGATTATTTTAAACTTTATAACAGAAAATGTGTTAGAGGATGTATTTTTTTTTTAAGTAATTGATTACCTAGATTTTAAAAATGTATTTATTAAAATCTTAATTTTAAAAAACTATGATCCCATTTCAGAGAACTATATGAAATAAAATATTCCCTTAGTGAATTAGAGTCCTGACATTATCGCTTTGTCCTCGCATTTCTCCGATCACAATGTTGTCTTTCATCGGCGTGGAACCTGTGGCAATGGAAGTTCTCTTAGCCATGAACTGTATCATTGTCTCCATAGTGATAGGCATTCTCGGCATCATCGGCAACATCATCAACATCATCATCTTCACCAGACAAGGATTCGACGACAGCATCAACATAACCCTCATGGCTCTGGCGATCAGTGACCTTGGTGCCCTCATCGCCAGCGAGGTCATGGCTTTCATCGCCAACCCTTGGTTCTTGACGTCCAATTTACCCCTCGTCACGGTGGAGTTTGTACACATGGTCGCATTTTACCCCCACAACTACTGTATTCGCGTCTGCGGGTTCATCACGGCCTTCGCCGCCTTTGAGCGGTGCCTGTGTGTGTCCATCCCGCTAAAAATAAAACAAATCGTCACCCGGAAAGTGACGTTCCGGGTCATTATTTTTATCTTCCTGATCACTCTCCTTGACATGTTGCCTGTTTACTACGTGGCGTATTTGGATTGGATAGTTCTCCCCGGCTCAAACTCTTCAAAACTTGGAATGGTTTTCCGGGAAAATCCTTACAACGTGTTTGGAGTCTCGTATTTAATCACAGACATGTTCATTCCTTATTTCACTTTTTTTATAATCATCCTCAGTAACGTTATCATTGCTTGGAAACTGAAAGCCCGATACACATGGAGAAAATCTATAACAAAGACACACTCTGATAAAGGAGAAGGGATATCAAATAAAGAGAAAAAAACAGTTCTAACTCTTGTAGTCGTGTCTATTATTTTCATCGTGTGTCTGATGCCGCAGTCGGCTGTTCTGACTGTAGTCAGTCAGGTACCAGAGCTTAGCATCAGGGGAAGTAAGTTTGACCTGACCATCCTGTGTCTGAGCTTCGCCTACGTGCTGGAGTGCCTAAGCTCCAGTGTCAACATCGTCGTGTACTACAAGATGAGTTCAAGGTACCGAGAGACCTGCATGCTGTTTCTCTCACACAAGTCCTGGCTCAGGAGAAAAAAATTACATTTCTAACAACACTGTTGGATGTGAAGTGAGAATGAAATAGACCTATCGGTTGTTTCCCTTACAAGAACGAGTGGGCTTTTAAAAAAATTAACAAACCAAATCGCTTTAGTTTTCCTTTGTAATTAAAATATGAAAAGAAAGAAATAGTATTGTTTCATTACGTTCTCAACTATATTTGTTCCTGAAAGTAAAAACGACAGAGAAAGTGTGTATTTGTTTTTTTACAAATTTGGCGAAAGAAAAATAAGAAATATGGGCTGACCCGCGGCGAAGCATACACAGCTACTTTATTGTTTTATTTTTTACTTTTCAGTAATTCATAATTTGTGAATTTGGCACTACCAATGAATTTTTGTGTGCTTTAAAACACTCTCAGCACGTGAAGGACGATTATCCTCACCCTCACTTTAATAACAATTTTTTATGTAGGGCCTACTAATGCACTAAAAATTTAAAAATAAATGATTTTTTTCTTTAAAAAATATAATAATTAACTACTATTTAAATAACTATAAAGAAAACCGTGAGTTTCTTCCTAAATATTACTAAAGGTATTCAATAAGTAATAAAGTGAAAACATTAGTAAAGGTTTCTAATAAATATTAAAGTAACACATGCTTTTCTTTATAGTTATTTAAATAGTAGTGTATTATTGTATAAAGTAATTTATTTTCTACTTTTTAGTGCATTATTACATACAATCTTATTATTAAAACGTTATTTTTATGATTTAAAAAAAATGTATGGTATTGTAAGTGTAGAGAGCATATATTGTTTAAATGTGTATAGGAAGAATAGAATAGAACACACCACAGATTAAAAATTAAGTATACCACTCGAAATACTTATATCTGTTACAGAGTTAATCAAGTAACCAAAAATGAAAACATGTCGCCCTATTTTGTTTAGTAACAAGAGAGCATTTTCTTCAGTGCATGTTTATTTCGATGAAAATTACACATCCTTATGTATCATTAAAACAAAGAAATGGGTTATTTAGATATTCTCAATGGTGCGCTATTCTGTTTAGCACTGGTGCTGCCCATTTAAAAAAAAGTTTACACCATGTTTTATTTATAAGCAACCAGACTTTATTTAAATATATTACTTATTTAGTTTTAAGAATGAAGGTACAATACCATAAGAAATTGTATTACTACTGTTAATATTTTTTAAAGTAAGACATACTTTTTCACTGTAGTACGTTTTAATAAATATAGATTTATATCCATAATGTTGATCTTCAATATTAAAAACAAAATAATAAATTCATCACAAGATGAAGACCTAGATCTATGTTGCATTATTATATTGTTATAAATTCGGAGGGCTAGGTCTTGGTATGGGTCTGGGTCTTAGTCTAGCTCTATGTCTAGGTCTTGGTATGGGTCTGGGTCTGGGTCTAGCTCTATGTCTAGGTCTTGGTATGGGTCTGGGTCTAGCTCTAAGCCTGGGTCCGGGTCATGGTTCATCAATATAAATTCGGATGCAAGACCATGGCTGGTCCTAAAGTTGAATTGATATCCTTATAAAACTGACTTCAAAATGGTTTAATGCGGCCAAAAGCTACACTGACCAGCCACACCAATTCATGTATATATATATATATATATATATTTATATTTATATATTTATATATTTTAATATATATATATATATATATATATATATATATATATATATATATATATATATATATATACCTTTGCGAACATTTAACACATGAACTTTACCCATAGGAATCCTACTGCCTTCCAAGGCATATGTCTTAAATTTACCCCTAATTCAATTGTTATTTCTGCACTAAACTAACAACTGCCCATGTTTAAGCTATCTTCGGGTTATAGGCCTACTAGCTCTATCAAATAAGGTCAGACAACTCATACTAATATGGCACACAACTTGAATTTAAAGATACAAATGCTAAGGAATGATAACTGATAACACGTATTTTTGAAAATGTATTTTTCTTATACTTAAAAAACACAAATGAGAAAATAATTTTCACTTTGGAAATAGACATATTTGAATGCTGCGCTTTTACTATGAGTAAACAACAACATCATCTTATATAAAAATACATGTTTAGAAATTTAAAAAAAATTGTTTTTAAATTTCTTTTTTTCCCATAGCTGTGCTTTAGTTGTCGACATAAATATTACACCCTATTTAGGTTAAAGTATGGGTTTTTCCATTGAGAATAAACAGTCTTCAAGAACGACGACTATTATATCCTTACTGCTTCCACTAGTTCTAGT